GGGCGGCCCCCTGCCGCTCCGGCCACTGCCCATGTTCGAAAGCAACTTCATCCAGGTCCCTGCCCACGCCTGGGCTGAGGGCAGGAGGGTGCCAGTGACGGGGAGGCTTGGCCCGCGGCCGGGGTTGCTGGAGGCTGTTGGAGTAAGGAGCGGTCCCAGCCTCTCTCCCCGGCCACCCAGGTGACAAACCAAGGGGGCCCTGTGTTCGTGCACCACGGAACCAACCGCCTGACCATGGGTGTGGCTGCCTCGCTGCCCGGCCTGGTGCTGCCGGACATCCTGCTGATAGCGCAACCACGGCCGGAGGGCAGGGAGTGCCCCGCGTGCACGACCTGTGTGCCTGGCGCCTCAAGCTGCGCCTGGTCACTGGCCGCTGCTACTACCTGGAGCTGGACGCCCCCGACAGCGAGGTGGGCTTCCTGTTCGACCGCTGGATCCGCCTGATCGACCTGCTCCGGGGGCCTGCTGCTGCCTGGGCCCCCAGGACCCTGCGCACGCCCCCCCTGGACCTGTCCCTGGCCGCGGCACCCGCCTCCACCTGGCAGCTGCAGGTGGGGACCCCTCAGAGCTGGGAGTGGGGGCTGGGGCCCGGGACCTCAGGTCTGAGGGAGGAGGGGCTGGGGCCCATGCTGCAGGTCTTGGGTGGGGATGACTGGGACAGAGGCTGCTGGCCAGGCTGGTGACAGAGATGTGCCCGCCAGGGAGGCCAGACGCCTCCTGATGGCCCTCCCCTGCAGGAACAGGCCCCGGGCAGACGTGCAGGTGAGCAGGCTGGTCGGTGTGTCGGCGCTCCCAGCTCCACTCAGCCGGACAGAGCCCGGCCCTGAGCTCCCCCCACGCCCCACCCCCAGCTCCTGGGGCCTGTCCTGTGTCCCCTGACCCTTGGCCTCTGCCCGCCCCTCCATTCACGGCAGCTGAGCCCACCCTTCCGTATAAGATGCTGACGGCGCAGACACAGAGGAAGGCAAAGGTGAGCTGCAGGGTGGGGGCACGGGGGGTCGGGCTGCCCTCCCCTGACGCCCCTCCCCCACCAGGCCCTCAAGCGCAGATTCCGGTCTCAGGCCGTGGGTGACTCGATGCCTCTGGTCTGGTCCCGGCTGGAGCATGCGGACGGCAGGAAGAGATCCACAGAGAAGTGGGCGAGGCGTGGGCGCGGTGGGCGGGGCAGGGTGGGAGGATTGGGTACTGTGGCCTGGGCCCCTGCAGGGTCCCACGGCATTGCTCCTACAGGGCACGCCCAGACACGCACCCTGACAGGTCTGCAGCCCGGGTCCACGTTTCCGGTAAGAGCGCCCCGCCTGCTGCCCCATGTGGACTGGCCAGGTTGGGCCTTCCCCGGAGCGCTGACCCGTCTCCCTGCAGGGAAGACCAGCCTCACCATCAGGACTATCTTCAGCATCGTCTCCAACACCGTCAACCAGACTCAGCCCTCCTCGAAGGCCAGCTCTGGGTCTAGGGCGGATGGCCTGGGGCCCTCTGGCACCTTTGAGGCCGGGGGCGCTGGGGGGCCCGTGTGCCGGGGTGCTGGGTCCTGAGTCCATACCCCACCCACACTGCAGCTCAGGGAAGAGGGCTGGACTCCTGGGTCTGCAGACAGGAGCTGGGGTCCGGAGGGTGTGGGTAGGGTCTGAGGGAGGCGGGGCCACGGCTGGGACCCTGGGAAGGAGCGGCCGGAGCCTAGACCCCAGGTCTGAGCCCTCCCTGGGCCTGGCTACATATGCCCTCCCCCACCTCCCCACAGGCTGGTGCGTCTGATTGTGAGGCGGCCGCAGGCAGGGGTGGTCTGCTGGAGACGCCCTCACGCTGCATCTCGGCCGACAGCCCCGACTTTGGCGTCCTGGGCCCCTCCCAGGACCTGGACGTGCACCTGTGGCAGCAGGGCGTCGAAGACCTCATGGACCCTGAGTCCAGCACCTTGTCCTCCTCCCTCGGCCAGCCTTCCTACCCTCCCGCTGCCTACCGCCCCGCACCCCACTCCTTCCCCAGGCCCAGTGACGTGCCCGGGCTGATGGCTTCCCGGCAGGGACCTGTCCCCGCCAGGCCTGGGAAG